AGAGAGAGAGAGAGAGCTATTTCTCAAACCATTTAAGCGAAAATGAAGGAACCCCAAAGAGAAGAAACTCTTTTTAAGTTTTTAAAAAGAGAGATATTTGCCTGAATGGTCTTCACAGCCGGCTTATTGATCTTTCTCAAATGGTCTCTCACCCTCTTCAACTTCTCCAGCTCTTCTCCAGGGTGCAATGTCTGGTTCGCCGGAAAATCTTCTCCATCCATCTTTTCACCGGAAACCCAATTTCCCGGCACCCTGGCCCCCACAAATCCCGGCCTAAAGACAACGAGAACAACAACAAAACACCAGATAAACCCATGAAACCTTCCAATAATGTTACAAGAGCTACGCTCCATTTTAGAAGGATTAAGACTTGGAGCTTCTCCAACTGTTTTGATCCATAGCCATTGTCTTCTTCTATGATGAGGGCCTCTTATTCCTTGCATTTGTTTTGGAATCTCCATTCTCATGGCTCCATAAGAATACACAGTGAAAAAGGAATTGAATACAAGCTTTTCACCATTACCAAGGATCTCCCTCTCTAAAAGAATAAGAAAGAAGGAGGAGCCCGAATATATACGCTCACTCTTAACTTCAAAATACCATGGTCCTGACACCCCTGCACCCTTTTATGGCACGAGTGCATTTTATATATATAGTGGGGGGTTTGGAGTAGTTTAGTGTTTTCTCCATGTGGGGGTAGAAGCAAGGAATGATTATAGTCCCATTTTTTTTTTTTCCCCTCTTTTCATAATCAAGGAATTATTAGTAGTAATTGTAAATTGGTTAATTGCCAGTGGTTTTGGATAAACTTGTATTGCCACATCCCTTACAAACAAAACATTGTCTTCTCCATCCCTACTACCTTTAGTAAAAAGGAAAGATTTTAGAAAAATTTGGTTTTATTTTTAGTATTTAAAATAGTCTGTATATTTTATATTTTATATTTTACACTCAAATCAAAGGCGGGCAATGAACTCATACCCGACCAAAGACTGACAGGTATACCCGACTCGTGTCCTGGTATGGGTCCAAATTTGGACCTGTAGGTAGGGTTCGGGTCCAACAATGTATACCCAAAAAATTTTGGGTACAGTTACGGATATTGGTGGACCCGCCCCGTACCCAACCCAGACCCCGTTAATTATAAGTTATTAAGTATATATATTTAGGATTTTAAGTTATAAGGATTAATAATTCATTGTTCAATTAAAATATTCAAAGGTTCGACCACAAAAAACCCTAGCCAGTAGAGCTCTGTGTCTGTTCAATCTTCGAAGCTTCAACCGCATATTTACAGTTTTTCTCTCTATCTTTCCCCACAAAAGTCCTACTCTCTCTCTCTCTCCCTTGAGATCTGCCAATCCCTATTTATCTTCCAAGCTGGATATTTGATAAGCGAAAGTACCAAGTTTTTATTTGATTTTTGTACACTCTTTTTTTTGTATCTTGATGTTTGGCTTTATTTTGATATTCGTGCATCTTGATGTTTGGTGGAAGATCAACAAAAATGGTAAGTTTTTATTTGATTTCGTATTTTTTATTTTTTTCATCTTGATGCTTGGTTCTCATTTTTCACATCTTCATATGCGGTGGAAGATCAACAAAATGACGTGGAGGATTAGCAAAAATGGAAAGTTTTTATTTGATTTTTGTGTTTCTTTTTAGGAATTTTAATGCACTTTTTTTAGGAACTTCTTCTTTGTGGAAAGCTGCATTGAGGAAATTTGGGGGTTTTTTGCATAATTATGCATTAAAATCGAAATTTGGGGGATTTTTACAGAATTATACATTAAAAAAGTATCTGCTCATTTTTGTCTCAGGTTCGGGTCGAAAGTTTTTATTGATTTTTGTGTTCCTTTTTAGGCATTGTAATGCGCTGTTTTTTTAGGAACTTTCTCTTTGTGGAAGAAGCTGCATTAAGGAAATTTGGGGGATTTTTGCAAAATTATGTATTAAAATCAAAATTTGGAGGATTTTTACATAATTATACATTAAAAAAGTATCTGCTCATTTTTGTCTTAGGTTCGGGTCCGAATCTTGGGTCTTAATCCATATCCTGGGCACATGTACGGGTTTGGATTCTTTGGACCCGTCAGTAACGAGTCCGGGTCTAGGTCCATAAGTGGTATTCTAGGTTTGGGTCCGGCCGGACCTGACCCGTTGCGACCCCTACTCAAATCCCACTTTTTAAAAGCATAAAGTATATTTTAGTTTTGGTTGTGGTTTGTACAAGGTTGCGACCTTAAACAATCCAATTAAGGTGCACCTCCAAGTTTTATTATAAGAGGTAATTTTCATGTAAAAAATTCTTAGGATGGCCTCATAATCCATTTGAATTTGAATTTTAAAATTTTAAAATGGTTCAAATCAAGTAAATCTATAAACACATGCAAATCTTGAAAATAGATTATCTAGATAATGTATTGCAAGATGCACTATTTTTTAAACTCGAAATATTTATTTTTTCACATATTAATACATCTCGATGTCGAGATATTCAATTAGAGGGTTTTCCAATATCAAACTAACATTTTCTCATGAATTTTTAAGGTGCACCTTAATTTTTTATTTTGAAGTTGCAACCTTATATAAATTTTTTCCTTTAGTTGTATCTCTTTTCCTATATGCTGAATTAAGCTCAAATTTGGTATATCTATACTTCGCACCATCGTATACAAATAATTTTTTTAAAAAAAAATTTAAATTACTAAACTACTCTTGAATGGAATATGGACACGCTAGTCATTTGAGTATTTTGGTCGTTTTTAATTATGTTGAGATATTTGTTCCTTTAATAATAATTATTATTATTATTTATTCATGAATATCAACAACATACTGCCCATGGTGACCGGTGACTGGGCTCATGAACTATGGTCAATAAACAATGCCAGCCGCAAGTGACACTTTGAATTAGCTAAATGCATTAATTACGAAGTATGTGTTTGTGTATGCCCGATAGATCTCCCCGGGGTTGATTTAAGATTCGAAATATATGTTAGCGAAAAAAAAAAAATTCTTCATCATCATCAACAACCTAGTTAAAAGAGTGACAAAAGGGCCCCCGGTAAGCAAAACTACCCATGCAAACTGGCATTGCGTTGCTAAGCTTACCCTAATCATAGTAATAATGTATATTTGCGAGTTCTGGATTAGTCATTGAGAGTAATAATAATAGCATAACTGAGTGAAATAGTATGTCAATTTCATGTAAATGAATTTAAGGGAAAAATATATTGGCTCTGGTTTTTGAGATAAATCAGTAGGCAATAAGTTATTTGTAAATTTCTGTGTATATGCATGTGTATGCACCTAGTGTTTTAACTTCTTTTTGTTTTTGGACTTTTGGGGAGTTTAGAAAAAGGTGTAGAATTGCTTCATTTTCTTTATTTGAGACAATAAATTTTGGTTAATGTTGAATCTCAAAAAATTTCGATTTACTTTTCTTGAAGGTTGCATTAAACTAGTACTTCTAAAAAAAGAATGCCTTTCTATGTTGTATGACTTTTAGTAGATTTTTCATGTTATTTAAAAATATTTTTTTATCTAATTTCTTAACTAATTTTAGACCATTATTTAAAAATTTATATCTATTTCTCCGCAAAAATTTTCATGAAAATTAAGCCAGTTTCTCCTCAAGGTCTTCTATTGAAACTGACCTAAAATAATATAATCAAACTATGTTAGTAAAGGAAAATGGTTTGATAGGGCTGTAGTCATATCAAAATAAGTAAAACCTCACCTCACAAGTCATTGAAAGCATTGAAAACCTTTACATCAATCACCTCGGCTTAAACATTATGTTTGTGAAGAAAATTAAGATTTAAAGCTTTTAAAAATAGTATATATTACAACAAATTATCTAGGCGTTCATTTCACCTTAAAAATAAATGTTCATAGATCCATAAGATTTGTACTATTTTTTTAGTTTCAAATTTTATTGTTGGCATTAGAAATTGATTTTAGAGTCATCATGAAGATTTACATTGTTAAAATTGCTTTCCAGACAAGGATTTAAGGTGACGCTTTATTTTGTTTTTATAGAGCCTAGGCCTTATGGAAACTTTATCCTTATGTAAAACGAGGAGATTAGCAAAAAGGTTACCAATAACAATGGGCAAATAATATTTATTAATCACCACTGGGGGGATAGAGAGATGAAGGACCTCAAGGGTATTGTCAGTAATAACAGTGGCATATTCCGGTTTGCTTTTATAAAAATATTAAGGAATTTACGCTCCCCAATACTAGACCTGCAACTTTACCTTTTCTTCCGAGGGTATTTTTCTGCCCTAATTCCTTTAAATATTTACAAAATATTTTGGATGGGCTTCTTTTTCGCTTCCCTAGATGTTCCCTTTGGACAAATTATAACTACATTTGATAAAAAAACATGTTATTAAAATATAGTTTGTAACAATTATTAGAGAAAATAAAGGACCAAGGAGAGCATATATCTACTTAAGTAAAGGATTGCTTCTTCCTAGTGCTAACATCTCAGGAATTACAAGTGCTCCAAAATCCCTTGGGCAATTTTGAGTGGTAGTTTTCATTATTAAATATAGTATATTATTATCTCTTTTTGAAGGAAGTTCCCAAAATTGTGAGCAAAAAGTCATATTGTACATGTATCTTAAAAAACTATTAAATTTGCATGGTATCAATTCTCTTGGTACTAATGTTCACAAGTAAGGCATGGACTCAGAGAGGTTGGAGCTTTTGGATTTTTTAGGCCTGTATCGAAGCGAAGTGAAGGATAGTGCTACTGTTTCGATAAAATTCGGGTCACTTCAGGCCGCTTCAATCTGATTTGGGTTTGCTTCAGGCCGATCAGGCGAAGCTTCGGCCTCCTAAGCAAAGAAATATTTATATAGAATAAAATTTTTATTTTTTATGATATTTTTATTTTTATTTTTCATTATTTTTATATATTTATATATGTAAATATCTAAATTTTTTAAAGTAATTTTTTTAAAAAAAGTCTAATGTCTTCCCCTAAATCAACCAAAGCACCGAATTGCTTCATTTTTCTCAACAAACCAAAAAAAGCTCTGAAACGACTCTGACAACATTGTTTGGAATACACTCGGTTGAGTTGGAGTTTGTACAAGTTATAATATCAAAATGTATGAATCAGTCGAGCTTGGCCAGTTCCTGCTCAGACTCGGCACCTTGCCAAGTTCGAGTGAGTCGGGCGAGTCCCGGGTTCGGACTCGCCCAAGTTTTAGAACACACCTTGGTATGGTTAAGCTTTTCTTACCAAGATTACAGTGGATAATACCATTATTTTATAATTATAAAGAAAACAAAAATGGATCGCATTATTTAATTATTTTGAGGGTGGGCACCAAGGTTGGGGCTTTCCTCTAGTTCTCTTTATAGGGTCCTGGCAATGATGCTGGCCACTTCCCCTACAATCCTTTTACAAGCGCCACTTTCTCACTCTGCCCCATTCAAAAGGAAAGCATATGAGAGATGGAAGGCCCACAAAGAGTCACTTTCCCTCAAACCCTATGTCCAAGGGATTAAGATATCCCAAGTGGAACCCCAGATTGGTAAAAGCTGGGTTGAGGAATAGATTCTAGTTCCACGCCAAAGAAAAGGAGAAATTCT